TCACATCGGCCAATGTCAAACGAACAGTCAACAAATATTACACATGTGACTACAGCGCACAACAGCATGTCCTTGTGCGAACCTGAACGCGTTCGTAAATTAAAATCCAATGAATGTGAAATCCCAAGTATCTTCCAAGGCACAACAATCACTGGAGGAACCTTTAACATAACTATAAACAATAACACAACGATGTCAGCCCCCAAAACGAAACGACCGAGGGTGTTGTATTCTGACTCCGAGTGAACTTTTCGAAGCGTGAAGTCAGGGAGTGCAATTAGTTCTGTGTGTTTTCGTTAAAGACACTATATCGCTTAATCTTATGACAAAAAATGTTAATATACAATATAACGTTGCTAATACTACTAATGTATAAAATATCTAAATTTAATTATGACTTCTATTTATTATTGACGTTGCGGATTTTTTTTACACACATTTGCAGTACAGCGGCTATGCGTGTATTCATGCGCCATTGATGATAGTACGGTGCATCGGGGTCAAAAATACAACTTCGCAGTGGAGGTATTTTTACGGTATGAAAATGTGGGAGAAAAATAATCAATCACTTCTGTGTGATATAGACAGAGATATCTCAACCCTCGGGATGAGATATTTTTTTTAGTTTTAGCACTCGGCAAAGCCTCGTGCTAAACCTAAAAAAAAATCTCACCCTCTGGTTGAGATATCTCTGTCTATATCACACAGAAGTGATTGATTATTTTTCTGGAAGATGGGGGTGATGTTTGCTGTCCTCCGATCTTCTGGTAGTTCCCCGATGGTAAGGGTCTATCTAAAGATGTAGGTGCTTCATTAGAACACTGTTGTAGCACTCGGTTTGGCCGCTGGCTTTACTGACGTTGACCTGATGTTTGATTTTCTCCATTCCTTTCTCGTTGACATAAAAATCATTCATAGCCGGGTATCTCCAATGATGTAGAGGCGGCGTGTCAGTCTCATCCTTGGTGAATACCGACTCGGACTGACGGTTTAGAATCTCTGCCCTTTCCTTGCTGTCTTAGCGGAGTGTGCATCCATCCAGAGGTGCAGTTCCGTTGTTGTCCTGTCTTCTGGATTTGATGAAGCGCACAAAGGATTTCCTATTCTTTTCCTCTAAGCCAGCTTGCAGAATCTGGTCCATGTAGTTCTATTCTGCTTGCCGTAAGGATGTCTGGGAAGCCCTCTTGTGTACTCTGTAGGCTTGCTCCTGACCACAATGTCGGGCTTCGTTGTACAGGCGATGCTCACTGTTAATCAGTCGTCGTTCCTCCTTCCTCAGCTATGGTAGGTTCCTTCTGGGAGATGTCATCTTCGATGGTATGTTGTCTCTGACTATTGATTTCAGGCATTGCTTGAATGATTGCCAGCTTGTTTCCACTGATTCTGCGGTGTTTTCTAGGATGGTGTTAATGAGATTAGATGCCACTTCTCTGACCTTCTGTATTCTTGTAGATGTCGAATATGGGTTTCACATCCTCGTCTATTACAACCATTTCGTAGTCGGATATACCTGGGATGATCTGAACACACTTCACAAGTGATGGTTTGCTGGTGATATATAGGTCGAGTGTGTTGCCGAGCCTAGTTGGTGATTTCTGAACATTTGTCGGCGAGTAGTTATTCAGGGTCTCTATTAGCTTGCTGCTTATGGACAATCTCATTAAAATCAGATGTTAATAAAAAAAAAAGCTATTCATCCGGTACGTGATAATGAACAGCTGTATTTAATCAGATTGGCTAATGGACAACTGTGGTGAACCAGGTAGTGTTGACGTCGTATTCCAATTGATGTGTGATAGGTTAAAGTCACTAGCAATGATGAGGTGACGGTAGGTTGATCGTGTCAACTTCTCTACTGATGTCTCTTGGTGCTATGATGGCTACTGGCTGGGGGTCGGTACTATGGGCATATCATCACTTTCTTGGTTCCTCTGAGGTGCACCTCAATCCATAGGATCCATGATGAGAAGAAATCTCATACACAGATGAATACTCCACCTCCATGTGTGTTGACGCTAATTTCTGTTATTGATTAATACCAACTGTTAGCTGTTTAAATGTCCAGTAATCACTCAAAAGGTGGCAACATTATAAGGTACTTTCCCACTGATAAAAAACAATGTGAATAATAGTGCCAGAAAGAATTCCTCGGTCACTTCGCTTAATTGATGGCGGCCGCTTTGTTTCAGAGACCGAGGGAGCCATAGCGACTTTACATTTTCAGAAGAACTTTTTTATTCTGATACATATCATTCATATCAAATGCCTATACTTATAAATCATTGATAGCATGTTCAAAATTAGTTTGATCAATGTTTTTTCTCAGAAAAAAAACAGCATTGACTTCATCAAAATGTCTACACGTTGGTACTTACGTGTAGTGCCCGCTTTCCAAGTTCAGCGTACGTGTAGCAGATACTCGAACGCGTAAACTGATGACGTCATACACAGAAAAAATAGGGGATTCCTCAGCTACAAGTGTACACGTACACGTATTGTTACTTAACCTCTCTAATAACTTCGAAATATACGTATATATTTTTTCTTGCAAAGTTAAAGTTTAGCAATAAGCAGTTTGCTCGTGAACATTTTGCGGTCATTAGTCTTTATATGTGAATATAGATACGCCTACCTTATACTTGGGTAACAATTCACATATCACTCTATGTTGTTGTTCAAGAAGGGTCACTGTTGTGGTGAAGAATGCTATCCTCCCTGAAAATTGTAGTGTTAGCCATATATACATAGTTATATGATACAGACTATAGGCGGACTATTGCGAGTCTAGTATGAAACAGACTATAACGGTATGTACTGATTGTTGTGTATTGTGTACTACGTCACGAGAATTGAATAAAGCAAGGCTTGACCAAACCACATGCGTTGTCTCTGTGTCACGAACAAGAGTAGGGCGAATACAACTTACAACATGGTGTCAGAATAGTGGAAGATACAGAAAACCGAAGAAATGTGGTAACATAAGGTTGTGAAATGACTGTTCTCGCATGACTAACCGTACATTGCTCATATACCCATCATTTGTTCCATTCGCGCAACTCCCGCACTTTCGAGTTTAGACAACAATGGCGACGTACCAGGTACAGCCGCCCGAAAATTTCACGTTTTCCAAGCCCGAAGAGTGGCCAAAGTGGCTGAAAAGATTTGAACGTTTTCTCGTAGCTTCAGAATTGATTTCGAAGGATGAGTCAATACAAGTCAACACTCTTATTTACGCAATGGGGAATGATGCGGAAGACATTTTCCATTCGTTTGCTCTGACGGTGGATGGGGCTAAAACGTTCCAAACTGTGGTAGATAGGTTCCAGGCACATTTCGTCACTCGCCGGAACACCATATTTGAACGCGCGAAATTCAATCACAGGAAACAAAACGAGGGGGAATCTGCAGATAATTTATTACAGTTTTGTATACCCTCATAGAACATTGTGAGTATGGAGCATTGAAAGAGGAAATGATTAGGGACAGAATAGTTGTGGGAATCCGTGACAGTAGAATGTCGGAAAAACTACAGCTTGACGCAAATTTGACCCTAGAGAAAGCGGGGACTCAGGTTAGGCAGCGCGAGGCAGTCCAAAAACAACAGAGTGTAGGCCGAGATGAATCCGGATCAGCAAACGGCTCGAGTGTAGGTTTAGATGCAATAAAGAAAGGACAGAAAAATCGCCCTTGTAAAAAGCACAGCTACAAGCAAACTCAATGGAGCCAAGGGAATAGTCGTTTTCAAAACAGACATTCAAACAAATATATAAGTACTCAAAGTACTCATAACTTTTGTCAGAGATGTGGGAAGTCACCAGGGCACCCCAGAGAAAAATGTCCAGCATCGAATGTGGAATGCCACAAGTGTCACAAGATGGGACATTACGCCAAGAAATGTAAGGCTACGGTGGATGAAGTCTACCAGTATCAACCTGAGCAGGGATTTGATTTCCTTGGAGTAATCAACGATAACTCAAGTAAACCATGGTTGGTGAGTTTGACTGTGGACGGTGCCGATCACAAAGTTGAATTTAAAATCGACACAGGAGCTGACGTGACTGCTATACCCGAGAAAACTTACACAGCAGTGAAGGGTAAGGGACATATGCACAAATTACAGCCGGCAGACAGAGTTCTTCAGGGAGCTGGACAGAACACTTTGAAAGTCATAGGCAAGTTCATAGGCGTGTTAGCTACAGATAAAACACAGTCATCTACGGAAATATATGTGATCCGAGAACTTACCAAACCTTTATTAGGCAGACTTGCTATTGAAAGGCTTAATCTCATCAAGATGATGGCTTCCGTACAACAGTCGGGCGACTACAGGAAGAAATATCCTACCCTATTT